TTCTTTTCCTTAGGTCATCCTACTCAGAGGTGGAAGTCAGAGACTATCTCTGGCAGATTCTCAGTGCAGTCGAGTATCTCCATGCTCAGAATATCCTGCACTTGGACCTAAGGTCGGAAAATATGATTATAACCGAGCCGAATCTGCTTAAAATCCTCGACTTTGGCAATGCCCAGTTCTACACGCCAGGCCAAGTCATTACCTTGGATGGGTGTACCGACTATGTGGAAACGATGGGTAAGTATGGCTCTGCAGTGATTTGTAAGCGTAACATAGCACAAACCAAGTGAATGCTGTGTGTTTCAGTCCTTTGAATGCCCACAAGTCATCCCAAATATGACCAGTAGTGGTTTCTGTCTCTGATGTCAGAGAGGTACTGAATCTGGCCTAGGGCTTAGTCTAAACTTGAAAGTAATGTTTCCCAAACTTTGGTGCTTCGGATGTTTGGGATTTTAGTTCCCGGGATCCGTGACCATTGACCAAGCTGGCTAAGGTTTCTGAGAGTTAGTCCAAAATCTCTGGAGAACCAAAATTTGGGAACTACAAGGAACTTTCCAAGGTGCTGAAATTATCTAGAGGTATGGTTTAGTACTTTGGCCAGCTCCTTTAAAGTTTTGCTAAAACTAAGAGCAGAGAGTCTCCGTGCCATATCAGTATCAGCGTGACCTCTTGCCACTGGACTACCTGCTCTTGAACCAACTTATTGAGTTCTCCTAACATGGATATGTCTTCTTAGCTTCAGAACTTCTCTCAGACAAAGGAGCTGTCCCTCAAACGGACATCTGGTCTGTTGGTGTTACAGCCTTTATCATGTAAGTTGCCTTGTGTGTGTTTTTTTTCTCCTTCTTTATGGTTGTCATTTTAAAACTTTCTAGGATTGTTACGACAAAGAAATTCAGGGGAAATTTGGTGCACAAATGCATTCTTTGCAGAGGATCAGCAATCCTTCTTGACTGTTGAGATGAACAGAAATATATGGCCCTTCATGTTTCCTTTTTCTCCATTTCTCCATTTCTTTGCTGAAATTGAGTTTTCACATTTTAATTGGCACTTCTATAAAGGTTTCCAATATAGGTAG